AATTTAAAAAAAAAAAATATAGCATTTTTGCGCCTTGATGAAAAGAAAATTATTCTAGTTCTCAAAAGATAACAACAAAAACTTTTTACAATCCTTTTTCTTGAAGTTACACTACTGTACGGATACTCCAACTCCAAACACTCCGACATTTAGTTCAATTTTTTTAAYCAGCCAATCAGATAGCGCATCGATATAATAAGAGCGTGACAAAGTGATAATCTGATTGGCTAACACTGTTATCAGTTCAATCTCTGTCTAGTTTACTGTTATCTGATTGGTCMGTTTTATTCWAGTGGTCCTGGTTAGTGTCTCTGCACAGTAAAAAGCACTCTCGGAAACCGAGTACTGAAACAATGTTACCGGTTTCTATGCAAAATGCCGAAGAAAAAAACTGTCAGATAAATTTTTGGAGGAGACAAAAAAGCGTAAGTAGTCAGTTTCCCATCATGCTTCATGCTAGATATTCGTGCTCGTGCACATTGCCTATTCCGCCAGGATCTCGTTTGATCTGGTTCCTAAGTCCTATCTTCTTTTCTAGTTCAACACAGCATAACTTCTATATTGGTTTGTGTTTAATCATGAAGRTCTGTTTTTGTTTCTCATTTTGAAAATCCCTCCTTTGACCTGCTCTCTCCACGCGCTATCGCAATTTCTTCGCTACATCAAGTCAGTACCGTCTTTGATTGGAAATATATATATAATTGTGGGATTTAACAGTGGTTCCTCTGAATTGCTGTTGTTCCACTGAATTCCAATATTGGAATTTAAAAGTTGAAGAGAAAACCGTCGTTCTTATATTGCAATCTATCCCTTTAACTGTTATAAATCTCGCATTCTTATTGGTTGGGAGCGCGTGCTTTATGAGCACACAGCACGCACGCACCCTTGTATCTTATAAAAGAAAAAAAACTTGCTTACTGTGCTGTGTGGAGTTATAAAGCACTTGAGGATTGGCAGAACACCAGAGAAGTGTCGAGAAGCACTCTGCTGCGCGTCGTGCTTCTCCAAACACTTCTCTCGTGTTCTACCCACTGCACACAGCACGCGCGCGTGTTTTCTATTTCTTAACCAATGCCTTTCTTAAACACAGTCAAAATAATTGAATAGACCTCTTTAGCTTCGTTGTTTCTTGTCCCATTTCAGACTATTTAATGCCACTGTTGGGAGTTGATTCTTTCAAATGTAAATATTTTAACATGTTTGTCATTAAAGGAAAAATTCTCAGGGCAATRTCACGTGGTCTGAAATGAGCGATTTGCATACGAAGGTAAAAAGGTGTATTGACATTCTAAATATTCTAACTAGCCATAATACAAAATTCGAAACATTTCGTTAACAGCAAGTATTAATTACTCATTTGCTAATTATAATTGGACAATTAGGTAAATTGTATAATTGRCAAATACGCGCGCGCGTTCAATTAGAAATTAATTACGACGCACGTGACTGTTTGGATATAATTGAAGAGTCTGAACACGATGTTGGTGGTACACTTGAAGAGTTTTTCATAGTTTTCTTACACCCTCATGGCTGTAGCTGTGTATTCCAGGAGCGATCCCTCGCGGTCCCACGGGATTATGTCACAACCATTTCATCCTCGTTATCCTGGCTACTTTTGGCGCCGTCCATTGGTCAGACAGAACATCCAAAGAAGGGGCTATCCAGTTGGATATTGTGGAACTTTAGGGAATTTTCCGTTCKTTGTCTGTGGTGTTGATGATGATAATGATGAGCACAAATTAGCTGCTGTCGTTGATAAATATCCGCGTGTCGAGGATGAGAACGATGACAAAGAGACGGTAAGAAGAAAGGMCCATATTTGCCATTCGTTTGTCTGTAATAGGTTTAAGGCGCGAGCAGTTTTCTCTGCAACTTGTGKGTTGCAACATTGTTGCAAGAGTGTTTACAAAATGCAACGGAGACGCAATCGTTGCCAAAAGTGGAAACGAATTATACTTGTCGCAACTATTACTGTGCCTTGTCTCGCAAAAATGTTTTTCAAATTGCGCCTGTAGGTTACACGCTGCAAAACCATGCAACTTATGTCGCAACGCCGTTGCGAGACATGTTGCCGGCAGAGAAAATTGCTTTGTGTAATCGCGCCTTTTCGAAGATATGTTTCTTTTGTGACTTACAAAATATTTCAAAGAGCCCATAATCATAAAAATTCGATCTAAGGCTACGTCCGTACCCCGATTCCACAATGATGTGAAATCAAAGCAGTTTTATCTGGAGTTGATAAACAAAAGAATTCCAATTTCAAGAGTATYGGAAACCTATYGTTATGTCTCCCAAATTTAGCTGCATTCTGAAGTGCTGCAAGGGGCCTTTTTAGTCCCCAGTMAGAGTCCCAAAGTGCTCTGCAATCCCAACTCTACTTTGGAATAGCTTATTAGAAAGAAATTTTCATTCAAAATTGCCATATTTCCTAGCATGAAGACGTTTTCGATTAATTTGCATATTGCTTACGAGCATTAGCCTGCATACAGCCGGACTTTTCTCATAGTTAGTTCGGCTGCACGAAAGCGCAGACTTTTTTTCTCTCTCGTGCCGAAACGTCAATTCTCGATCGAAACATTTTGAGATARATTATGTTTTTCAATTCCCTGACTTTTAAGCAAGCAAACCAAGAAAACACGAAAGTAGAAGATCTCGCAAAYATTACCAGTCCAACTGATATGTCATCAGAATCTGCCGGACCACATGCAGAGATCTGGCAACAAGCCGCGTGTGCCTGGGACCGACAACAACCTCGCTATAATAATTTTCATGCCTATGAGACACAACGAAAGAATGAAMAACCTCAAGAGTGAGTAGACTTACCTTTATAGCCTTCCCTGCCAAAGATGTCTGGGGTTATTTTCGTTGGTCGTTTTTATTATTATTATTTTATTGCAACAACCGCAGACCACGAAGCAATGGAGGCTATCTGTTTGATTTTATTGTGACCCTGAAACAACCTCTGGGCTGATCAAAGTCAGGGCATGGCTAACTCACAGATTGAACCCTGAAACAACCTCTGGGCTGATC